GAGAGAGTGAGCTGGAGCAGAGGAGGGTTTTTTTTAAGCAACTGAGGCGTTTGTGTTGAAAACAGGCAATTAGGAATTGAGCTATTCTGCTGTAAAGCAGGGAATTGAGTTCTGGTGGTGGAAGCAACCCCCTTGAGATTAGCCTGGTTTTTTCTGTCTAAGAGAATGTCAAAGAAAAGCAGAATATAAGTTTTAAAAAAAAGATTAGGCAGATTCAAGGAAACGGATTCCTGATTCCCGCGAGGTCTAATAAACACAAAACTGTGGATAGAGCCTCCAGCCTGGGAAGTCCTTTAGCCCCCAGGTGATGGAGAGTGGGAGGACGTATGTGGGAGGAGCATTAGTTTTGACTTGCTTGGTTATCCTGCTCCCTCTCCAAGCTGTCAGAGATAAGTCATTGCAACAGGCAGACCTTCAGTGTGGCCCAGCGCAGCTCATCCTTTGTTCACCTCATTACTCCAACTGGCTTATTTCTGTTTTAGCTATTCTGTGGAGATTTCCTGTGGTTATGGGATGTACGACAGTGGTGTGCCTGACCCTTCCTCAGCACACTGCTAGGCAATGCCCTCAGCCCAGGGAACTGCAATACCACATTTGCTTCTGAATCCAGAGCAACACTATTACAGGAAGAGCAGTGATGCTGAATTAAGATTTGTCCAGCTGAGAACAGAGTTTAGCTTTCAATCAATAGCAGCCTTTTTATTTTTCTTAATTGGTGTGTGTTAAACAGGGAGCACTGTGGCTCACGATAACAGGATGTGTCAGGAAGGTGAAGCTGGAGCAGGAGGGGGCAACACAAGTACAGCCAAAGGGAAAGATGCGGTGCTGTGGCAGGAACAGAAGCAGGGCTGGGATTTTACTGTAGGGTTAAGGTGAACTGATTGGAAGGTGGCTCTGCAAAGAGTCATCTCCTGCCACAGTGTCCTTGTGCCTTCATTCAGGATCATGCTGGGTCACCAGGGAAATCTGTGGAAAAGTGGCCATGGCCAGACTGCCGTACTGAGAAGCAGCCTGCAGTCAGACTGGCTTATGCTGCCCATGAAATCCCACCTCGGGCTTCCAATTTTCCACAAAGATGTCTGACTGAGTTCTTTATGTATGTCTGCATATGGCCTACATCTATACTACTTATCCCTAGCTTCTTCTGCGGACTTGCTCTTCCATAAAAATGCTGAGCAATTATGAAAAGAAATTTAGAGACAAATGCATGTACAGGGCGCTCTCCTTCCACCACTCAAATTAATTTTCCATCTTGCCCTTTGGATAAGCAGTACTTCCGTGGTAAGACCATTCTCTAGAGTATGAACTGGTTTGAACTTGAACTTCTATTTCGAATACGTAATGAAGTCTTCAGTGGGCCAGGGAAAGCGAGTGATGATAGCTTTGTCCTGGGGGGATGAGTTCAGGCAGAACGCTTGACTTGCAGCCCATATGGTTGCCTTCACTGCTGGACTCGTAGATACTCTGAGAAGAGACCATGTGCCTCCTTAAGCTCCCTCTTCTTTCCCCCTCCAGCTAAAACTGAAAAGTCTTGAGGAAAGTGCCACAAAGCCTTATCATAATTTCTCAGTGAAACAGGGCACTGCTTCTGGGCAGACTTATAGTTAAATCTGTAGTTTCTCTATTTGTCATGCAATTTAAGCACTAGAAAATAGTGAGGCTTGCACGTTTTGTGTAGCAGTAACTATGTGCATAGCTGTGTTTTGCAATAATAAATGATAGTTTCTGGTGTTTCATGACTGCTGTATTCTTGCCTTTGAAGGAAGAGGAGCTAATTGGAGACTTCCTTTCCTCCCTTTCCTTCTGGTTGAGAAGGCCCGGATTTCCAAAGCACCACACCCATCACAATTATGTCCTCTCTAAGCTCTTTCAGAAACCCTCTGTGCTTAGTTCAGGCTCCACACAGCATCCTTCAAGGGAGCAATCATTCCACCACTGACTTCAGGGGTCACACTCTTCCAGAGTATCTGGTCTTGCAATTCCCCACCACTGCCCCCTCCTGCCTTTGCTTCAGCCTTTGTTCGTCCCCTGCCCTTCCTTGGCTCACACCCAACGCTGGTGCAAAGAGCCCGTGCTCTGTCCACTGCATCCTTTTGAAGCATCCCCGTGCTGCCTCTTTTCCTCAAGCCCACAGAGAGGGGGCTACGCTCAGAAGCACACACCTCCTGTTAAAACCTGTCCTGCCATTTCTGACCACAGTGCATGCAGCAAGGAGGACTGCTGCCGTTTCAGCCAGCGCCACTGGTGTCAGCTCAGTGGGAATTCACCTTGCATTTGCTGCGTGGTTTCTGCAGAGGGACAGCTGCTGAGCAGCCCCTTTTCCATGGCTAGTCACACACTCTGTGTTGTTTTCAGTTATTGCCCCCTAAGTCTGTGGGGAGTACACCCCACTGGAAGCTGTCATGGTTTAACCCCAGCCGGCAACTAAGTACCACACAGCTGCTCACTCACTCCCCCCACCAGCAGGATGGGGGAAAGAGATTTGGAAGGGTAAAAGTGAGAAAACTCATAGGTTGAGATAAGAACAGTTTAATAATGGAAATAAAATATAGTAATAATAATTAAAAAAATGTAATGAAAAGGAAAATAACAAAGAGAGAAATAAAAGCCAAGAAAGACAAGTGATGCAAAAGAAAGCGATTGCTCACTACCAACTGACCAATGCCCAGCCAGTCCCCGAGCAGCCGTCCCCTAGCCAACCTTCCCCCTAGTTTAGTGCTGAGCATGACATCATATGGTATGGAATGACCAACTTTGGTCATTTGGGGTCAGCTGTCCCGGCTGTGTCCCCTCTCAACTTCTTGTGCACCCCCAGCCTGCTCGCTGGTGGGGTGGGATGAGAAGCAGAAAAGGCCTTGACTCTCAGTAGTAACTAAAACATCCCTGTGTTATCAACACTGTTTTCAGCACAAATACAAAACACAGCCCCATACTAGCTACTGTGAAGAAAATTAACTCTACCCCAGCCAAAACCAGCACAAAGCAGAGCTTAGTGTGTTGTGGGTGGGGATTACAGTGAGAGTGTTTGACTTGAGCTTTTGTTCTCTCTGATAGTCACAAAATCATCTGTATGCACAGTCAAGGCATGTTGGCTGTTCTGTTTTTAGACAAAATATTGGTTTCTCTCAGCAAGAAACCTGCTTAATGACTCAGCTTATCCCTGTTTGCTTACTGGGGAGTTGAATGTCTTGCTGGGCAATAGGGTATCTGCTGAGGCAACTAATGGGCTGACTTTTTAGCCGGTCTCTGGAACAGGCTAGCAGGGTCCACAGTGCACTTAAGAGCTTTATCGGCCCAGCACAGAGCTGAGCATCAGCCTTTTCCTTGGGAATCCCATAAGAGACACAACTGCCTTCCCATTAGTTTCAAGTTCGTGTTTCTATATAGTGGTTACCCCCACTGTAGCACATCCATCAGAGCCCAGCCACCCTGCCTGGGGCAACTAAGACTTCAACAGCCTCAGAAATGATGGGGGAACAAAAATACCCATTGCTTTATGCTGTTGGTTTTCTGGGATGACTACTGGCAAGTCAGACACACACAAGGGCACAGGCCAAGTTCAGAGCCTTGTCATGCAAGTTACTCTTTCCTGCTTGTGGGAGGTTTTAAATTCACCCAGGTGAGGGAGGAAAACTGCTGACAGGGAAATAGAGGCAGGGAGAAGATAAAGCTGGGACAGATGTAGAGGGGAAGGGAGAAGGGCTGAGAGCTGCTGCTTCCCTGTACGGTGACCAACCGCTGCTGCTGGTGACCACCACTTCTTAGGCCTGCTCCCATGCTATGGGTAAATCTCTTACTGCAAATCCCCAAAGTCGTGGGATAGGTGTGGATGGCTGCATGAAAGCATCTGTCAAGGAAGGTGTGTGCCCAGGCTGCTTTCCCCAGTGTCAGGAGCGCTGTGGGAGCATGATCTGTCCGCCAGCTTGGAGCAGCGATATTGTATTGCATCTTGTCCTGGCAGGGAAACTTCTTACAGGGGTTTGATCACCGTGAAGCCATTTCAGAAAACTGACAGCATTTGCTAATGCTGAGCTCACGCAACCATGCGAGTCATGAGTCACGTTGTGCGCTGGTCTCATTTTTGTGCAGCATGTCAAATCAATTGGGGAGAAGAAATGCCAGGGCCTGCTTAAGGAAGAGCTGCTGTATTACTTTTCTTACTCAGATGTTTTTTCTCCCTTTTATCTCTTCATTTTCTTAGGTGTGCGGTCACTTTCCTATTGAAGGCTGATTGCTCTTTCAAAACAGAGCCTTACCCAGTTGGGGTGTGCCAAGGGTTACTCACAGGGGATGCTGGGGCCATTTGTACCTGACCACTCAGGTATCCCAGACAATAGCAGACGCAGGCGGGAGAATGGTTCACATTTCTGTGTGCAAGGCCGAGCTCTGAAGCGTTTCCCCTTCGTTGCCCAAGCAAGACTCGCAAGGAATGCAAGGAAAATTCTCCCTGAATTAAAAATAAGGCAGCCAGGCCTGTCGGATTTTGCAGCCAGAGATTAAGCCCTCTTTCTGTACTTTCCTCACCAGAAGTGATGAAAAGCAGCCCAGACTGATCTGTATTAGTCCTGCATGGAAACACGAAAGGCTTAGAGAGTAAAACATTCCCAGACCCAGTGCTGAGCTGAAGTACAGACTCTGCTCCACTTTGCTTGGAAACCTCTGTGTGTCTGCCCTACTGTCCCCCAGAAAACTGCATGATTTCGCAGGCAGGCTCAGAGCCCTCTCTGAAAGGTGTTGGTAGTATTAGAGAAACCCAAATGAAAACTCAGTGAGCACCCAGCCACAAGTCCCCATCCCTAGGAATAGCTGAGCAGACTAAAGAAGAGATGCCTGAGTATCTCCTCTTGTTTTGTTGGTGGAAGGCAACAAAACATCAGGGCTCAAGAGAAATAGTTTTCAGCTGTGGAAAAGGTAGACAAGCAAAGGTCTTCAAGGGGCAGGAACACACTGCTGGCAAAGGCTGGTTACCCACACTGCTCTTTGCATTTTCTTTCTTCCAGGAACTTCAGAGAAATCCTTATTTGATCATGGATGGGGTTAGCAGATTTGATATCATGCAAGGAGAAATAGGTAAGATCATATTCCTGGTTTGGAAAAGATTGGCACAAAGCAATAACCTGTGATAGCTTTGCTATGTTCTGAGTGCTTGGTGGGAAGAGGTGGACCATAGTAGCTGCAGTAAACAATTAGTGCAGGTCAATCCAGACTCACGCAAGTTCACACACAATTTATTGCAGATATTTAACAGGATTCCCAAATGCAGCAGGTCTAATCCCTGTTACTTAGATACAGCACCTGCCCTTTATGTATATAAGGACAAACATAAAAAGGGAGGTCCAACTGAGATCAGGCAGATGCTTCAAGTACGAGGGTCAAACAGTTTTGGGTTAAGTAGGCACAGCTCCAACATGTGTAAGACTGAATTTTATTTTCATCCTGTCTTCACCTGGTGACTCACAGTGTTTTCTTTCTATGGATATTTCTGTCCATCTTCTCTGATACTTACCCAGACGTGTGTCTGCACCCAGTATTGGTTCTATCTTTTCCTCCTGGCCCATAACCATGTTTGTCTTTGGGCGCAGCTCTGCTCCCATATAGAAAGAAATATCTTCCCATTTCTCACCCCACTGAGAGGTTTGAAGATTTCCTAAACGATGTTCTAGACTGCAAGTCTCAACATGACCACAAAAGATAAGAGGAGCATAAATGTAGAAAAGGATGGCTGGGTGGCATCAGGGTTCCCAGGGGGCATTGCTGGTGAATACTGTGTAGTGTTTCAGCATTTTGGGGGAGAGAAGGGAGACAGAAGAATGATGGTTTCTTTTAATAAGCTGGTCCTTAGATGTCTTAGATGTTGAAGTCCACTCTCCTAAAGAGTTAGTTATGGTCCACAACAGTGAGTAACTGACTGACTGCATTGGATTCTTCCCTCCCTTGAGGTGACTGCTGGATGCTGGCTGCCCTCGGCTCTGTGACACTGCAGAAGCAATTTTTGGAAAATGTTTTACCAAAGGACCAAGGATTCCAGGACGATTATGCTGGAATTTTTCATTTCCGGGTATGTATTCTCTGCTGTATTGGTACTGCTCGGGCTTGGCTGGTTGGATTACATAGGGATCCAAACTGCAGTCCCAGATCTTGACATCCTTGAGTGCTTTGGTTCTTCGGTGCTGACTCCCAGTTTAGAATTTTGCAGAAAATCCCAAATTTCCCAATGGTTCCTTGTGCTCCAGGTGGTGCAATCACACTTCAGGGAATTTGAAGCCCTTTTCTGAAGGGTATGACTCCAGAGGTCAGATACCAGCCGTTCAGATGGATTTGTGCACATATGTGTTTTAGATGGCATTCTAGTGTCTGCTTTGATTTGGACAGTTTGCTATGGCTGTCAGCACACCTGTGTTCTTTATCTATTTGGACTCATTTTCTGTTTCCCCATATACTTCACCTTGCCCTTTTAGCTCATGGAAATGGCTTGAAATTACAGATCCTTGGAGACAGATCAGAGGAACAGGCTTTTGGTATTTTGAAAAGAGATTTGTTTCAGAGAGAGGAGCAAGGCTTTTTAGTAAATCTTACTTTCTACCAACTCTCGAAATTCTCTGAATCTCCCAGGATGGTGACTGGGATAGTAACTGGCAGGCCCTGCTTGCTTGTGTCTGAGTCAACCAAATATCTTGTGGGATTAGAAACACTTGCAGTACCATTAAGCTCCAGAAGCTAAACTGGATGGAGAGCGAATCGGTATATACTCAGCCATTCATCATCCCTCTTTTTTCACAAATCTGTTCTGTTATACGCAGTCTAGTACCAAGCAAAGAGCTCTGGCAGTGAGACTTCTTTGACCTCCTGGAGCTCTCGTGGAGCAGCACCAGGAGGATTATCTCACAGGCAGTCTAAAGTTTGCTCTGTTCCTTTGCTCCTCAGAATACCAGATGTTTCTGTCTTATCCCATTTCCAGCATGGAGAGGTGCACTGTATGAGATAAACCAGCTGAAGGGACACCAGTCCAGTTAAAACACATTAAAAGGATGCAAGCTAGATTGTCTTTCTTGAGAGCTTTGAAAAGATTAGTTAGGAGCAATCCTTAAATCTTAAGCAGTATAAATACCTTACAGTATTTGAAAATGTTTTCCCTGTCATCTCATCTGCAAATCAATGCAACTGTTTCTGGCTTTCCTTGAGCAATAAACCCCTGAGAAAGCTACTCTGAATGGAAATGCTTCTCCGCAATGCCTTTCAATTATTCCATCAAAGATATTTTACTGCCATCCACAGACAAAGCCACCAGTCCTCAGTTCAGTGAATAATTGCAAACAAGGCATATCATATGCTAATATAAAAATTTTAGCTTATAACTTTTTTTCACCTTTTTGGGTCTGGAGCACGTTGCCTCTCAGGAATACAAAGGGGTGCCCCAGGCTTCCTACACAACACTGGCTGTTCAGCTGCAAGAGTTAAGGGTGTTAAGCACTTCATCAGCTGTAGTTAAAATGGGTGACAATTTTATCTAGGGAATAATTACAATGACGTTATTTCACCCAGAATTTAGTTAGTCCCATGTTTGAATAGGAATCACTTTCTCTGCCACAGAAACTCTGATGACTGTGAGGCAGGGTGTGCCACACGTTTTGACAGTGAGCAGCAGCAGCTCAGCCTGGGAAAAAAACAAATATTCTGCAGGGACTACAGGGAGTTATGGCACAGTGCATCAACTCAAAACAGGGGGGATCTGCCCTGAGCGTTAATGTCCCTGCTCTCAGGAAGAAACTGATGAAATCTTTAAAAGCCATAAGTGATCAAGACCTTAATTTCAGGATACATCCAAAAGGTGCCTTTTAACACCATGCAAAAGAGAGTGGTTGAAAGGCATGGGATTTTTGCCTTGCTCACTTCCAGAACTGGATTTCTCCAAGATCCCTGTCAAGGGGGGGGAAAAGGAGGCAAAATAACCACACAGTATTCCCCCTCCAACCAGCAGTACCCTAGGCACGTTGTTGTCATCTTGCAGCTATCCATTTCTTTTTCATCCTCTTCTAAGCCCAGGAAAATAAAGTCCTGATTTAAAAGGCTCACCACAAATGTGGAAGCAAAGAACTTCCCTCTTTGCAGCCTGCCTAAATAGGGATTCTTTATTTCATTTACTGTCATGTTTCCAGCTGCAATACTTTAAATCCTGAGGTATAAAGAAATTTCATAAAGCCAGACTCTCAAGCCAAAAAGTGAAGGCATTGTCCTTCTCTGAAGGCATATGGGGGAGAATGACTTCTCCTGTACCACTCTTGCACTCCCAGAGCATCCTAGGACTTTCCATGACGTTTCTCATTCCCATTGTGGCTTTTCCTGTCCTTGTGAGCTCAGATGAGACCACAGTCTGAAAGTCTGTGGCAGTCAGGACAAAGCAGCTCTCTTTATCCAGCTGAAGAAAAATACAGTGCTGTGTTCAGAAGGCCTCCAAGCTTGAGCTCCCTACCAAAGATGGCCGAGGAACTTGGCTTTTGGAAAAATGTCACTCAGTGGGTTTGGACTGCATTAATCTCCGCAGCCAGTTCCATATTCTCCTTGTTTACCTGTTGTGTTCGCACATGAAGCACCATGGGGAGATGTGGCTGGATGTCACACCTTTTCTCCATACAGACCTGCTGCCAGGTGTTGACTGGTGACAGGAAGGCATGTCAAGTGTCCGGAGGGACAGCTCATTTTGGACTGTCCTTTTGCCTGTCTCTCTTTTGGGCAGAGGACAGCCAGTGGCAGGCTTTTCCTCCAACCCCATCCTGCCAAAATCAAGCAGAAGGCTCAAACCACTCCTGGAGCTCAGTTCAGAGAGTCCAACTCTGCCACGTCCTGCCGCCACTAATGTAGGAAGTGAGAGGCTGGGGTGAGGCAGAATATAAGTAGGATCAAACCTGCTTTTGGCTTAGCAGACTGTAAGCTGCTTTGCTGCTGGGCAGATCTGGTCTTGTACTTTTCTAACAGAACAGCTCATTTTGGTGTTTTTCATTGACCAAAGCTGTTGAAATAAAATCATGCTAGACTAAATCTATTGCTGGCATACTTCCACTGGAGTCCTTAACATTACTGCAAATAAGAGCTTGGCCTCTATGATTGCAAATCACGCTAAGCTACATTAATCTGCTAATGACTCTGGAAATGGCTCCTTTAGTTCATCCCCACAGATCCCTTTCCTTTTTTAATGTTTCATCAGCTGGATCAGCTGGAGAAACACCTGCTCTGTCCACATGCTAGAGAGATCGCCTGCATCCTCCTCATCTATCAAGGAGATGGATAACACCTCAAAACAGTCTTTAGTCACTACACTGTCCCTGTCTATGACAGCACATCAGAGTCTTAATTGAAACACAGAGGAGAGAAAATCTAGAGACTGGATCTTGACAGAGGCTCTCTGGCCAAGAGCTGTGCTGCAGGGGAAAATCCAAGTGCAGCTGAGGAGCGAGGCTCACTGAACCATCTGTGTGATTGTTCTTTATCATCTTGAATGCTTGCTATCACCCAATAATATTAGCATATTTCCCATGTTCAGTCTTTCCTCCCACGGATTGCAGGATTGCATGGATTGCAGGACTATTTATATTCCCAAATGACTTCCCCTGCCACTGGGAAATCCAGCTGCTTGGTAGCTTGTTTAACAATGTGGACCAGTAGCCTGAAGCAGTTCAGGAGAGAACTTGCACATATCCATGCTTTAGATTAATTCCTGTGCTATTTCAGGAGGCTGTTGCTTGGTGTGAATATTAGCTCTTACTGAAGGCTCATTTTTTTCTCTCTCTTCTTTTTTTTTTTTGTTTTTTGTTTTTTTTTTATTTCCAGTTCTGGCAATATGGAGACTGGGTGGATGTAGTGATAGATGACCAGCTGCCATTCCTAAATGGAAGATACCTGTCTGTGCACCCTCGAACGTCAAATGAATTCTGGCCATCCTTGCTGGAAAAAGCATATGCCAAGTAAATATACCTGGTCTATTCTTCCACCCAGTGCTGAATTCTTTCTACGAGCGGTTTCACCCTCTGCTTTACGCAAAGCACACAGGGAGGTGTTCAGGCTGACAGCTATGTATGTTGTGCTGCGCTTAGGTAAGGAACTGTGGCTGCATGCAAACACAGGACCAATATAACCTGGAGATGTTGGTCTCAGGCTCAAGACTTAAATGTACCCGGTCCAACTCTGGGATGTTAATGCCTGAGAAGTAAAATGAACAGGGCAATGGCTGGTGACACAAAAGGGGCTGGGCATCTCCTTACTTTAAGCAAACTTCTTTGCTTCCGTTTTCCTTTCCGTATTTTCCTCTGTTTAAAACTGCAGACTCTAAGCAGGAATTACCTCTGTTTACTGTCACTAATCAGAGATCATGCAGATATTTGGAGCAGGCAATGAGAGGAAGCGTGACTGAAGAACATGCCCAGGCACAACACACGCACTCCTGTGAGTCTCTGGTCAGTTCTCACTTCACACACAGAGCTCTGACTCTTGGCTGAGGTCCCCAGAATACTGCAGCATTAGTAAAAATTAAGAAAGAGATAATAATTTGAAAAAATCCTCTGAGGAGTGAAAGGATCAGAATGTGGTCCCTTAGCGTCTGTAACACTGCCCATTGTTAAATGCGCTGAAGAGAAATTCTTGTGGTAGGGGTAGTATGAAGGGCTGGAACTTGGTGCACATGCCCTACATCAAGCTGGGGTAACACTTGCAATGCAGTGAAGAGGAGCTGAAGAAGAGAGCTAATTATTTTTGGCAGATTTGGTCAGGAATAAGCAAATGTTAAAGCAGCATCTGAGCAACTCGGGAATAGGATGCATTTTGCTCTGAGATATCTCAGAAAAGTTAACTCAGGATTCGGTATCAATTTGCTGCATAAGATTTTAATTACAAAGCAAACCAAACCTCTATTAAATTAAAGTTGCAAGCGATGCTGTTTATGAGATTCCCATTTGAGAAGTTTTTCCCCAGTGCCCATGACAAATTCTTTTCATCAGTGTAGGACAAGGACAACCCTTCAAAATACAATTAGCCGCAGACTTCATTTGATTACATTCATTAAATACAGTGTGTATGGTGGGGTTTAACAGCATGCTCTACCTGCTCTAAGTACAGCATGTTCCAGCTTATTTGCTGTCTCAATAAAAAGCACAGGATAAAAACAACAAGGACTGTGTTGGCAATATTAAATTATTATCCTATTATTGCTCTCTAGCAGAGTGAATTGGGAACAGTGCTGAAAACTTGTTTCTGTCTTGCCTTGGAAGCATGGGCAAATACTTTCACCTCTCTCTTCTTCCTATTTCTCATTTGCAAAAGGGATACTGGCCATTTTTGTGAAGAGTCATGACAAAGTATGATGTAGAAACTAACAGTTCAGCTCCATTTGAGCTGAAACATCCATTTGAACTAGTCACCCTTGGCTCCCTTCCTGTTCAGAAGAAGGAAACTGGATACTTCAAGAGGAGATGCAGCTCATCTCCCTAAAATGTCTGCATGGCATGAGATGCACCTTATTATTTTCCACTGCCTGTAAATGACTCCAGGCAGCTGCCTCAGATGTGAGTGAATGCATAGGAAACAGTCCCTCTTTGCCTCGTTCATTCCACAGGGCATGTGTTGTGTCTGGCTGTGTATTTCAATCACATTTTCTTTCGTTACCTGACCCCAATGTCTACACATCCCAGGCTCACCGCCTCAATGTGCACGTCCATTTGGAAACCATCACTGTGCATTGTTTATTAAAACACAGTGTAAGGACTAACTAACTTTCCCCCCCACCCCGCAGGTTACGGGGCTCCTACCAGAACTTGCATGGAGGCTACCTTTCTGATGCTTTGGTAGACCTCACAGGTGGAGTACAAGTGCAGTTTTCATTGAAAGATCCCCCTCCTGATCTGGAGGAGATACTGAAAGCAGCTAACAAATCAAAGTGTCTGATGGGGTGTAGCACCTCAGGCCAGGTGAGTCACAGGGCGAGGAGCATGCCTTTCTTGGTTCACCATCTTTGCATAAAAGTTGCTCTTTTGAGTGAAAAAGGAAGTCTATAATCACTCTGTGTAATAGTTACAGCTTATGGATGCCTGGAGAGATCTTGGCAGGAGAAAGTAGATAAGGTTATACAGTAAGTAATGTAAAGGCTTTTGGGTAGATGTAGATGGGTTGGTCTGTCAGAGAGGGGTCTGTGGCTTCTCTCCTGGCTAATTCCACTGTGACAGTGGTATCATCTTGCAGCAGGGGATTTTGGCCTCATAGCTTTGTGATTGATTCTAGCAAGGCCAAAATGCACCTCTCTTCTGCGAGAGGATGCTATTATCGCATTGTGATTTGCAGGCTACTGATATTCATGCTGGCAAGTTGCAAAAGGCTTTGTGATGCTCAGCAAGTATCTTGCTAAAAAGCTGCCAAGGCTTCCCTTACAGCATGTGAGGGAAGACTGCAAAGTGTGTGGCATTGCTCCTGTAGTGCCAGGTTCATCAGGACACAAAGCTCAGCTGCTGCAGACAAGCCAGGCACTAGCCCCTCAGCTCGGCTGGCTGATGCTGGGCTGTGGGTGGCAGGGAAATTCTGGGGCTCTAATCCTCCCAGTGACCCAGTCCGGGTCATTCTGCAGTTGCAGCAGCTCTGGACCACTGAAGAACTTGCAAATATGTGAAGACCTGTAGTTTTGTTAAATTTACGGGACTACTTATGGCGGCAGTGGGAACAACAGTCATGTTCCTCTGGAGCCAGTGTATCTGAGATACTGCTGTAGTCAAACCCAAGTCTCTTTTTCTGCCATAACAAATGATAGTTCTGGGAGTTGATGGCCATACCTTTGCAGTGTGGCAGAGAGCTAAAAGCTGTGCTTTCTCCCTTCTGCAGCTGAGGAGGAACATAGAGCTGAGGAATGGAATTGTACAGGGTCATGCCTATACTGTCACAGGAGTTGCGAAGGTAAGATCAAGGACTTGTTCCTGCCTGGTGATCTTGTACTGGTGATCCACTCCAGGGCAGTCACACTGCTGTTGCATTCAGAGTAATTTTAATTAGCTTCACGCTTAGGAGGGATTGTTGAAAACACATAGTTCAAATTCCAGGAGATGGAAGGATTCTGGCACAATGGGAAGAGGCAGGTTATCTGAATCCTGTCATATTTTCTAATGGAAAAATGCAACTTAAATTCACTTTTGTTTTGGGACACTTCAACAGCAAATACAGCATTTCTGGGGATTTTCATTCCATGCTGACTCTTAAAAAGTTCACTTTTCTGTTTCAAATGGGAATAGAAGCACTGGCTGAAATTCTGGGTTTTGTCACATGATGCAAGTCTACATTTGTTCAGCTCAATCACAAGCTGCCAAAAATCACTGTGTGAAAAGTAGATAACTCGCTGGTTCAAGAACAGCATTTCTCCATCTTTTAAAGCTGATCTGCTCATGCAGAACTTCTCCTGGCTAGATATTAATATTTCTGATCTGAAAACAGGACCAATTTATCACACAGATCAAAAGACATGCAGGATTTTTTACAACCAGAAGTCAGAACATGGCTTACCCTAGTAAGCTGTAGTGCACACAGGGAGTGTTAACAGTGAGCAAGGCCAAGAAAGAAACCAAACAATGGCTATGCTATCAAGCAAGACAGCTACAACACATTTTAATCTAGGAACTTAAAGTGCTTTGGAAAGGGGACATTGTTTTCCCTAAGCTATTTTCTCCCTTGTCCCCCTCTCTTTAATGGTTTCCCGTATGAGCCTGGCTTTGGTTTATAGCCTCTCATGCCATGGCATGTTTGGTGCCATCATCACAGTCAGTGTGCTGCTTCTCAGAGGACACTCGCGTGTAGCCAAGAGGCTCTGAAATGGAAGGATGGGGGTTGCCACGCCCCAGAGAAGGTCCCAGCTGGCTCTCCCCAAGACAGGGGTGGAAGGATCCTGAATTCTGTCGGAGAGGAAGCAGGCTGTTTCAGCTTCGTGCTGCCCATGATGTGTGCAGAGAGGAGAAACAGTCTTTGCCCCACCTTACAGGAGTGCCAAGGCATCCAGGGCGGTGTCCTGTGGGGAAATGATTTGAGGCTGGCCAGGGACTGGGCCTTTGTCTGGGAAGAGACTGCCATGGCATTTGTTTCCAACACTGCCTGTGTGCATAAGGAGAGCCAGAAACAAAAAGGTTTGCTTCTTTTCACTTCCACCATTTCAGCTTCACTGGTGAAAGTGAGTGGCTTCTGGCTTAAAGCAGTGACAGCAAGAGGAGAAAAGCACCAAAACTCCAGCTGTTGGAAACCACAATACTGCAGATATAGAGACATAGATTCTGTTTATCATCATCCCTCCATGCTGACTGTTGACATTCACTCCAGGCAGTCTGGTGGCCTGGTTCCTCAAAGTCTCTGCCTTTGCTGACTCATAGCATCGGATGTGCGGGATTAGGCACTGGACTTTCCCAAGGCCGTTGAAGTCATGTGGTGTGGCAGGGATGCTGCTGCTTCCCTCTGTCAGCTATTCACTGTCCTCGGGAAAGCAAAATGGGCACAGTTTTCTCCCAAACATCATTCCTTTAGAATGTAGCAAAAGGCACTGCTTTTTAGCTGTAGTCAAATGAGATCAGAAGTTAAATCAGGCCTCCAAGGTATAGAAGAAGATCCATTTTATTACCCATCTCTTCACTGAATATCACAATTGTGAAAAGCTGTGACTGAGTTTATTTTTCTTTCCTCTTTACAGGTACGCTACAGGAATGGCTGGAAACATATCATCAGGATCTGGAATCCATGGGGCCATGGGGAGTGGAAGGGGCCCTGGAGTGATGAGTATGGTCTTTAAACTTTAATCTCATAAGGAGAGTCACTCTTTTATAGGCTTCTTGTAAAGGACCTCTGCCTTGCACCCGTTATAATAGAGTCATAGAATAGTTTGGGTTGGAAGGGACCTCTAAAGGCCATCTAGTCCAACCCCCCTGCCGTGGACAGGGACATCTTCAACTAGATCAGGTTGCTCAGAGCCCCGTCCAACCTGACCTGGAATGTTTCCAGGGATGGGGCATCCACCTCCTCTCTGGGCAACCTGTTCCAGTGCTTCACCACCTTCAGTGTAAAAAATTTCTTCCTTATATCTAGTCTAAATCTACCCCCCTTTAGTTTAAAGCCATTCCCCCTTGTCCTGTCGCAACAGGCCCTGCAATGAAGGAGACATTTCTAAATCAATTCATTATAAGCGTTATTTCCATCTGTAAAGCAACTGCCCACAGAAATCCAATCCAGGGAAAACTAGTGCAGCATTGGTTTTATATGTGCTCCTCGCTAGGCCTAGCTCAGGTATCCCTTTTTGTCTATGTGTACATTTTTCCCAGTGGGTAATTCCAGATAAGTCATAGATGAAAGAGTTGTTATTACCTGGAGTAAGCTCTGGCTATGCCCCTAGACACTGGCTGGCTGCTTCTATTGAATTCTCCTGCAGCAATCGTGCATCCACCTTCCCGCTCTTTCTTCACCTCCCACGAGTCTGAATCTGGGGAGAGGGTGGTTAGCAGAGTCCATGAGAGTAGGGCAGTATTTTTATGCAGTATTGAACACAGAGAGACAAAAAGGGTCCTTGGTTATTGCAAAGACAAAGTGCCGCTGGATGGCTTGAACTGATCTTTTGGATCCTGCGTGCAGCTTTGGAGATGCAAGGACCACTTTGCTGCTGTGTGTATAAGCTAACTTTTCCTTCCTGAGGAAAGGAATGGTACAGAGGAAGACTGCAACAGTGTTTTGTAAATAAATAGAAGTTAGTTTTCCTGGTGGAATTGCATCAGTATTTTCCTGACTAGAGAGATGTTCAAGTGTCACTCTTATGTGATTTAATAGCATCCCACCTCTCCCTGTTGCTAGGAACACTCATAAATTCTCTGCTGAGAAAAGTCAGGCTAGCGTGTTGCGTCTGGATGGGTTGGCGGGTGGTGCAGACATGTTTAAGGCTGGGGTAATAGCTATCTGCTCAGACAGCATCCTCCCATTTTTTGGAAGGGTGAACTATAATCCTAACTGTAATTGAAATGTCAGTAGAGCGCATTCACAGGTAAGCTGCATAAATCAATAAATTATTGATTCATGCTCTGTTTATTTATCTTACACTCTGCAGAAAGTACAATTATCACTTAATTATAAACATGCTGCTTGGAAACAACACATTTGACTGGCTAATGTGCCCTCTACACATCAATGTAATATCAGCACTTCAGAGTGCTATGCCTTGGTACCTCACTAACCTCTCCAGCATGGGGACAGGTGACCGGGGCTTGGAGGGAAGAGGCAGGGGATTCCCCATCCCAGGGTGGGCAACTCAGACAGGCAGAGCAAAGACGCAGAGCTCTGTTTGCTGGCCTTGGCTATGAAGGTATCGAGCACAGTCCTGTTCCCAACGTGCAGTTTGCTCACCCCTCCTGATCCCTTATGACTTGACGGGCTGGTTAGAGGAATCGGCTGGCCAGCGGGATGGAAAATTGTGCTTCACGTCTGCTTGTTGATTTGTTCCTGTTTGCAGCTCTCCTCAGTGGGACCATGTTGAGCCTAAATTCAGAGAAGCCCTCTTCAGAAATAAGGCTGATGGAGAATTCTGGTATTTCCCTATCGATCCTTCTGTTGACCAGGTTTTCTGTTCGCATTCATTATGAAAAAAAGAGTCATTTAGGCAGTTCTCTGCTCTTAGTGATGACTCAAGGCACGCTGTGTTAGCTGTGTGCAAAAGCAAATTGGAGGTTGTCCTGACCCCATGGTTTCAGAGGAAACGACCTGGAGAAATGGAGCTGGCCAAGATTAAGTAACAAGCTGGTGAAAAAAATGAAAAGTGAGAGAAGTAAAAATCCAGCTCCCTGAGACCTAGTCATTTTGTCACACTGCCCTTCCCCATAAAGCGCCTAGCTTGAACCTTGGACTGGCTGGTGCTCGGAGGGGACAGGTGGCTGAGCAGGTCATAGAGCTTGTGCACTTGACTGCTCTGCAGGTGCTTGTGGTTTTTCACTGCCTCTGATTACTCTCAGATCCAGATTAGCCATGTGTGAGCCATACTTTAGAAAAGCTATTATTATTCAGAAAGTGCACACTTGCCCCGTGAGGCTCTGAGGAAAGCAGGGGAACAGCTGACTGGTCTGAGATAGACACTGCAGGCTTGAGCAAAGCATGAGTGCAGGGCAATGACACTGCAGAGGCACAAAGCAAGGTGCAGTGGCAGAGATGTGCTGGGGATAGCAGGGCTCCACCTAGGTACTACTGAACATGCCCTGTAATTTTCCTGGGGCCTTAGGTGCACTTAGGGCAGCCCAAATGCATTGAGAGCTGACCTCTTCTGCAAGGTATCAGCCAGCTCAGCTACAGCCTGCAGTGCTCTCTGTAATCCCCTTTTAAAGGCATGGGGGGTGAACGTGAGTACCTGACTGGTGTCCCAAACTGAAAGGTGAGATTTTCTCCTTCTCTGCAGGATGTCCTATGAAAACTTTCAGGAGCAGTTTTCCTGGCTGTATATATGTAACAGCACCCCAACGTTTCTGGACTTTGGAGATCAGCGCTGCACAACGTGGTCCGTGGACAGGCATATGAACCTGTGGAGTCCAGTCATTGCCACAGGTAATAAATGCTCACTGCAGTCACCCAGTCCTCTCCACTGGTGCTTACGGTGAAACATTCACTCTGAGCATCAAATTGCAGAAATATTGATTGCCAGTTAATGCCTGCACTTTCCCATTACAGCACCTATCAGCTAAAGAGGCAGAAACAAAGCAGCAGCACTGGCTGCTGAGTTAAAACAGGGGACTTGTGATTTAGAAACCCTAAACTCTTTAAATCAAAATGTGCTTGTCTATCTTCTTTCAGCCAGTTGCAGTAGGTGTTACTGGGAACCTCTTCAGAAAGTCTGGTCTGGCAAATATGGGGCAATACAGAGCGAGAAATACTCTGAAATGAAATGGATATGAAATTAAAGAATTGTGCCACAAAGCTCTATTTTCGAAGGTAGAAAGGCCTTTGAGCAGATAAGACCATTGGTTTTACTGCCTGTGCAAGGACTCTTCTGGCACTGCAAGCTCTGATTATTAGTAGTATTTTTAATTTTTTTTAATCTTATCTTATTTTACTTTTCTACAATTGCATCACTATTTGGGCTCTGTGTTTTTAATCTAAGGTGGTAGCATGTGGTTAATGAAGGAGCTTCTTTGTTCTGCAACGCTGATCCCTGACTTAGTAGCAAACAAGTTTTGCCTTACAGGTTTCAGCCTCCTCCTCATAACCCTGATCACCATGTCTCAAGGGGTGATAGTAAAGCAATGCCTGTGCCGCTGCACACCATGGGCACTGTGGCTGAGTGAGGAGGTGCAGGGGCTGAACTGAGAGTGTGTGAGCAGAGCCATTTTCCTTGGAGCTGTGTTTTGCCACCGGCCCTCTAGTAGAGTTTCTGTCCAGGTGCAATCTTGGGCTAAATTGCAGCTTTCAAGGCCACCCAACACAGCTACATGGCTTAAAGTCTAGACTGATTTAAGCAGATGCTGCCATCTCAGTCCTTTTTCCCCAGTTTGGGCATTTTACTGCTTTCTTATCAGGGATGCTTCCTGTTAACCAAAGCCTTGGCCAAGAAGAAGCCTTTTCCCTCTGGTGCTCAACACTGTCAACACTGTTTTGTCCATCACAAACACTAACAGGAAGGAAGGGGAGGATAGCTTTGGACCATTTTGTCTTTTTCTTTTATGTGTTTATGATCTCCAAGCCACAGTCTTTTTCAGCTCAGCCACTGAGTCAGGTGGCTGATTGAGAATCACTGCTTTTCCGCCTCGGGGATGCTTTTCTGCCATGTAGGTGAAGCAGAGGTGAGGGGGGTTGAGAAATCTGCATGACTTTTATGACTTTGCCAGAGATTTCTAGAATTATTAATGGGCAATTAGTCCAACTCCAGATGCCCCAACTCCTACTGGTAATGTAGAGACTACAGTACTCTGTTGTATTGAAAGCATCTTGGAGCAGTAACTACCTCTGGGTCCGTATAAGGAAGATCTTACACAATAGGCTACTACTGGGACATCTGTGTGGCTACTATTAATCTGTTAACACTTTCTCAGCAGGTGCAGTTTCAACAAACCCTCAGTATTTCTTCAAAGTGCCAGATTATGACCCAAAAACCTATAATGTAGTCATTTCACTCATGCAAAAACATGCTGAGGGTATGCAGGATGCAAAAACCCTGAAGATTGGCTTTTTGATCACCACGGTAAGCACAAACAGGTATCGTGGTAGGCACTGTTGTTTTCTGTGTGGCTTATTATACCTGTACATGGAAATGAAAGACTGAATTGCATTTTGGGCTGTAAAAAGAGAGCAGTCAGTATCTGGAGTGAACTTCTCGATGCCTTCTATCTTAGAACATCACAGGAGAAGTAGAGTCAGGCAGGCTTAGTTTCCTTTATTCATGTCTTAAGAGAGGAAAGGTTGAACTTTCAGTTCTGTAGCATCCCAAAATAGCCCTGGGAAACCCAGGTGGTCCATAGGTTACAAAAGATGCCAAAGCAATATCCTCTGTGGCCAGCAGTACTGGTGACATGCCTTGCTGGCCCACAAGGCATGACAGCCAGCACTAACCACAGCGCTTGAGCAGTACTCCAGGTCTAGTAGGGAACAGAATGGCCTCTTGTTCCCCCAAATGGGCCTGTCTTACTCATTTCCCCTTTTCTGTCACAGAAATGCCATGTAAAACCCATTTGCAAAATATATGGAAGGCTTTGCTCAAGACCAGTGAAGAGTCAATTCACTCAGATACCTGGGACCTCCACCACAATTTCCCTGTTTTTTTTTTCTTGTTGACTGTCCAGGGAGGTGCTATTGCAAGGGCAGTTATTATCAGAGCATTACCAGGCTTACTGAAAGTGCAACTGCTAGTGCGGATGGATGCTAGCTTTATCCAAAATGTTTTTGTTGTAGGCTGAGGGGGGTAGGAGGGAGTTGTTTGTAACCTGAAGAACGAAAGGAAGCAGAGATTGGTATGACCTTAACTTCACATTCTCCTGATCACTGGAGAGGTTTGCTCTGGTCCCAGACTTTGAATCATTGATGCCATAAGTCTAACAGCTCCTCATAAAGGAAGAGCATGGCGTTGTAGCTCATAAAAAACACTGTCTGAGAAATAAAAGACGTAATAAAAAGAGCATCCCTCCAGCAAGTGGAACTCACTATCCCTATGCAAGGAGATCCTCTGCCTGGTGCAGATATCAGCCCTGCAGGGCTCCATGGGGCCAGCTGTACCACTCGGAAGGAGCTGCTGCTTCTGGTAAATGGGGAACTTGCTGCTTCCAGCATCCTCATCAGCTGTCCCCCAACAGTCACCAGACATGGAGGTCCCTGCATGCTCTTGCATGATGCATGCCCACCTTGATTAGTTACCCATTTTGACAGAAAGGACCCTCACTGGGAGGTGATGGCATAGGTCTTGGGTCCCTTGAAAAGAAGTTGTTTAATCAGGAAGTAGACTAGAGGACAGATTTGCTCTATTCTTGTTTTATATTTAAAGTTTCTTTCTTCCCCTCCAGTTGATGCTCAGGTGTCTTCATTTAGTTTTTCTCTCTCTTGGTATATTCCCAAGGATGGATGAAATTCAATGAGACATGGCTTCTGTGGGCTGTCAATCCATGGCTCATCTCAGGCTCAGTTTGGGCTTCTGATCCCAGATGATCTTCTATGCAGGAACTGAAGGGCAAGGCCAGAACAGGCCATTACTAGGGGCACCGAATTACTGTGGAGCACCTGGTCAATGAGGGAAAGGGGACTGTCGTGCTGCTCTGTCACGCTGTAGCTTTTAGTAATGTAATGTTATTGGTACAAATCCACACAGCAGATTATACAGAAAATATTCCCATATAGACACAGCCTAAGTATTTTAACATGAGAGCTGGTCTACCAGCTGCTCACAGCCAGCCTAGCTTCCTGCCCTGCTAGCAGCAAAAGCCAAGTCCAGGAGCTAAAACCAGGGTAGGTGTACCGTGCTATTCCTTTGGTTTATTTCCCAGCATCTAGCCTCAGTGCTTGAGGGCAATCAGGGGTGGCATCTTTGCGTAAAAGTTTACAAAGGGTTTTCTTTGTGCAAGGAGAGTGCAATTGCTAGGATTCATGTGGCCTCACTCTTCCTCCCTCAACTGCTTTCACTGCCGTTATCCATTAGCAGCATCATTCACCGTTCAGTACCTTTTGAAATGCACCGAATTGTTGCTGTGAAGTAAAAAGGGTATTATCCCTTGGCAGGATGAGAGGGGAATGCAGTGCAGGCAAGGATGCAAACCAGAATGGACGTATCTGATAGCTCTAGGAAGCCTTTGATTAAATATAGACGTGGAGCACTAATACATGGCTGTGAGGGAAGTTTAATGTTGTGTGATAGAGCTGAGCAATGTATAGAGGCTGATTCTTATCTCACACCGGTTTTGACTCCATTGAGATATTAATCTGCTTCTGCTTTTTACCAGAAGGAATGTGGAATGAGACCCAAAAGTAAAAAAAGGATTGCACCATTTATTTCTTTGCAGCACTGCCCATTTCTATCTGCTCAAGATCTCACCCATAATACTTGGCAGTCTACATACCTCCCAGCTGTCTGTAACAGTAGTCATCTTTTTTTTCTCCCAAAATAGCGGTTTTATGTTATTTTCTCCCAAAGGCATGGCTCATAAATAACTCTGCCATGCTGTATAACCATTCTAAATGGAATTTATACACGCTGATGTATTTTGAGGAATATGTTTAGTAAGGGTTTTTTATTATGCTATCTTTACATGTCATCGTAGTAATAGCTGTTGCATTATATTTGTTTCATCTCAGCAAAAATACTGGAATAAAAGAAGAAAGATCAGAATATTCTGTTTTCTTGTGACGCTTGCTGGAAGGTTTGGGTTGTGATTCTTGAAGCATTGTCATCTGGGCGAGATGCTTAGTGAGCTCTCTGACCACGCTGAGTCACACTAGATCTCAAGGAAGTTTTAGTAAGAGTATTCATCCTTGATTCCTTCATGAGCTCAAATCTGCTTAATGTTAATTGAAGTTCTCTTCAAATCCACTTACATTCATTTTGCCTTCTGTTTCTTTCAGTTCTTCCACCCTTGTGCATCTTTGATGTGTCCTTGAACAAAGTGTGTCACCTGGATGGGCTTTTCGTGCCACTGGGGAGGTTAAGACATGTTAGATGCAGTGTATATTTAGAGAGCTGTGGGAATGTAAGGCTGCTGTGGGTGCACTTGCTGATTTACTTTGGTTCCTGACATGGAGGGGAGATAGCCAGCTATATTTTTCTTTCAGGAGAACTCCAAAATTCTGAAACAAAATTTTTCCCTGACTCGAGACGTGACCAACTACTTTATCTTGAGCCCAGGAACCTATGTTGTCGTTCCTGCTACAACAGAGGACCAAGAATTTGAATTTATCTTACGAATTTTCATGAAGAATCAAGACTACAATGAGTAAGATGATAAGTACTCCTTATAGTATGCCAGGATTTAATGATTTAATGTCAGGATAACTAATGTGGCAATTTGCTTTTAACATACTCTAGAAGTGCGTTGGGAAGACACAGCCGAGTGTTAAGCACTGTGTTGAGGGGGATCAGAGGTGTAGTCAGATGCATAGGGCTGGCCACTGCAGAACAGAGCAATAGCTCATCTGCAGCCACCAAGGGTCTCAGCTTTTGTACAAAGAGCGACACAAGTGAGCAATAATTGTGAGATACACCCTCCCCCGATTGTCGGGAAATCTCTCTTTAGTGAAAGGAGGACTGAGAGCTTGTTCTTCTTAACAGCTGTTGTGTAGTTTCTTACGTTGTGCTGGCTGGACGCCAGATGGATCAGGTCCCATTCTGCTCAGAGCGGGACCTAGAGAAGCAAAAAGCAGTGAAAGGCCGTGATCCTTTCACCCAGTCATTTCGTGGACAGGCTGGTAGGGCTCCCTGTGGGCACAAGACGGGCCTTGAAGATAAGTTTAGTGGAAAAATGTTACCTTAGTTCACGCAAAGGCAGCTATTATCACAGTTTCACATAAATATCTGGGTGTGCTTTATGTAAAGAGCAAGCCCCAGCATTCAGCATTACCAAATGACCTTCAAGCATCAGATGTGCAGTGGCTTTCCTTCAGCAAGCTTTATAGTGGAGGTGATTGCAGCTCTTACCTCATAGACCTATATCTTAATAATGAGATTGCTTTCTAGGCTTTGGCCCCCAGAACTGACTAAGGCAACTCCTTAGTTATGGAAAACAAACGTAAGTGTGTGCTCTGGGCTGGGCTGCTTTCAGCATGATGAGTCATGCACAAGACGCCTCAGCCTTGGGACACAGGTCTTTCCAGGAGAGCTTGTGACCCTCACACACCTTCCTAAGCGAAGCCAAGCCTGAGGATCCCCTTCCTGTGGGTCTCTGCAGCACTCACCTACATAATAGCACGGATCCTATAAAAATAGCATCTGGCTTGCCTAATTTCTCTATCAGAAGCAAAACTCAAGTATTGAATATTGCTACTAAGCGAGTCTCAGAAGGAATGGTGACCCTGGCTCAATTTCAGGCAGTCTGCAGACATTTAAAAGATACTGCCTTTTAATAGCCCATATGCTATTTTTATTCCTGACTGTTAAACTAGGCAAAGAGAAAACAGGTGAAAATTTTATGTGGCTCAAGGCAGGGCAGCCCCATCTTCTGTGTGGTGAGGTTAGTCCTGGCATGTTCAGAGTGAGACAAGTTACCCTTTCTCTGCTGCTGGTGCCAGCAGGGCCAGCTCGGGGAAGGCAGTGGCCCCAGAGCAGCCAGAGACTCAGACCTGCTCATATCTGCTTGCACAGAGAGACCCAGGACTGGTGCAACACAAGCTGGGAGGTGTGGGTGCTGAGCATCTTGTGGGGCTGTGGGCTGGGTGAGTGCTCCTGTTGGTGCCTGCCTTCTGCCACATCTGCAAATCAATGCTCTGAAAAGGCCCGTTCTCCCCCAGTTTGACTCTTGTAACTCTTTTCTAGGAACGCAAACTCCCCGCCCAGCCCAGTGCTGCCAATGGTAAGAGTCTGTGAAAATTGGTGTAGATACTGGTGGTGGTGAATTGTTCCCAGGGAGCTGACCATTCGGTAGCCACCTCTGCTGACTCCTCTTCTTCCTTCCCTACATACCAGACACCACTCTGCTCTTCTGTCCTTTTACCATCCAGTACCTGTCTGAGTTCAACTCTGGTACCCTGCGACCTTGCTGGGAGAGTAGGTGACCAGCCTGGGGTACCTCTCTGGAGAGACGGGAGTGACAACGAAGCCCTTCCTCTTCACATATGTCTCTTTCAGAGCCTGAGTTTTGAAGGAAACAAATCTTATGCAGTCCCTCTGTTGGCCTGTCCATCTGTCCTTTTCACCTCACCACCTTTAACACTTTGACTAACCAAATATTGCAAGGGGGAGAGCATTTCAAAGAGATTAAATTCTTGCAATGTCTGTAAAACGGGTATGTATCTAAGGAGGAAAGAGCGGGAAACTTTGATGAAAAAGTCACAGCTTGAGTTTGACCTCTTTTAAAAAGACCTCACACCTGAGAGCGGGGTCATACATGCCTTCCCTATGGGAATGGCTTCATTTAAGTGCTTGCACCCTATAAAGCACAGGATTCCATAGAGGTGAGGCCCAAAGCAGATTTCTTCTGATTTTCATCAGGATATCTTCACAGATGTAAGGGAAATTACACTTCAAAACTGGTTGCGCCTCTAGTTCGACCCACATTTCAGCCTGTCTAGCCCAGCTACCGTCTCTTTCTGGACTCCTAGCTGTGCACTGTGCAAATTGCCAGAGCTGGTCCAGTCCATGCTGCTGTCTCAGCAGTTGCTTGCAAAACCCTGCCACTGAGAGGCTGTTATTTATAGCAATGCAAACTCAGTGCAGGTCTTTGAAGCCAAAGGTGTAAAGCTGCTTCGGCATAACAGAAAACAGAGTCCTTTCCTTGTGATTAATTTTCCAGCCTGCAATTAAGCTCCAGTAGTGTAAATGGTGGCTTATTATCGCTTTCCACTGACAAGCTGTCAGTTTACTTGGCTGTTGTCGTTAGCCAATGTTTTGACTTTGACGAATTATGGTACCCACACTTTCTGCCCAATACCTCAGGTATTTGGGTTTCACTGGTGTGAATTATCTTGCACAGAGCTGAAGGCATTAGGGCTTAGGTTTAGATTTTGGGGGGAAACTTTATAACGTTAAGGATAGTTCCCCTTAGTGCCTGGTGGATCTCCTCACTGGAAGGTTGAAAAAAATCACTTAACTGTTGAATTGCAATTGTTCAGGTACAGTCAAGCCTGCCTTGGGATTGAGAAGGTACAGGGATTGAGAAAGGAAAAGTCAACTCCTGCTCTATTTTCTTGGTTCACATGAATCTCACATGCCCTAGGCCAGTGGTTTCAACCGAGGGCCATCAATAAAGATCAGGCTTTGTATCTCTATACTCATGTATTGACTTGCTGAACTCCACCCTGGATGTATTCTGTTGTCTTCCTCAGGCCCTGAGCTGCTCCTTCCTGGTTGTACTGATAACATCCAAACTATGCTTCTTCCTTCATTGTGGTAGCTCTTTCTTGCTCCCAGTCCACTTTACTTTTGGGGTGTTAAAACTGCAGCCTGTACTGTACATTCCCTGCCCTCTCTAAAGTGCTGTTTAGATCTGCAGACTTCTGCCACCAGTTGTTTTGTAACTGAATTATTTATGTCCGTGCTTTGTCTTTGATCCAGGATGTACCAAGACAGAACCGGGACAGCTCCTATAAGGCTGTCTTCCTAAGATATGCTAAGCAGGTATCCTATCTAAAACATCTTGCTGAAAAATAAATAAAAAAGGCATGTAGACTTGCAAAAAGAAAAACTGATCTCCGATGTTGATACAAATCCATTTAGAAAAATGGTTTTTGGAAGAGTAGCTCCATCCTCAAGTGGATACCCTGAAAACAGTATTGATTGACCTGCCAAAACCACCAGAAAAGTGGGACATTCAGCTGGGATAGATTGGCTAGCCCCATGTATCAGAGGAGGATTGGAGATTTGTGGTTGTGCTGGTGATGGGCTTGCATGTGTACTTTTTTTTTTTTTGCTTTAGTTTGTTTATTTACTGAAAGCAATTAGAAAGCCTTGGGTATTCCCCCCTCTCATCAGCATCATTTTCCATTTGCCTTCGCAGCATTTGGAAACCAGACATCGGTCAGCATTTGAGTAATTGATTCCTGCTTTTTCAGAGCCAAACTCTGTGTGTTCACAGGAATGCTTTTAATGGTTTAATAAACTGTTAAAAAGTACTCCTCAACTTAGTCAAGAGGAAAAAAAAATAACTGCCAAAAGTCTTTGCACAATGGACCTCTTGCAGTTAATAGTTATATCAATGCATGAAGGTGAAAATGAACACGGGCTGCCATGCTGAATGCCCTGGGGGTGTCTTGGGAGGGAGGCAGTCAGGTTCACTGATGGGTTGGGCAGCTCAGAGGGAAGCAGGCAGCAGCGCCTGTGCTCCCAGCCCACTCACCCAGCTGCGGGCTGTGCCTGCCCATTGGCAGCTCCTCAGGTAGGGGCTGGTGAAGTCAGCAAGTGTTCCCATCACTGCTGGAAATACCCCATAGTGATGGGGGTGCCCATAACTCCCCTGCAGACTCTTGTAGGGAAGGACAAAGAGTGGCCCAGCAGCGTGAAGGGCTTTGTTATGCTCCTGTGGGAGTGCTGCTGCTCCTCTGATATAAGCAGAAGTCCTTCTTTGTTGCCACAGTGTGTGAGTAAAGAATTTTGGGGCAAAAATAATACAGGAGAAAACTTTATGCTCACAGACCTCTCTTTGCATTTTATTCTGCATTAGGGCTCAGCTATTGATGCCTCGCAGCTGCAACAACTCCTTAATGAAGTGATCCTGCAAGGTAAAGCTTTTACAACCCAGCTAATGTTGTTGGTGCTTCCCTATCCTTAGTCTAGTGTAAATTAGACAGAGGATTTAGTGGTGTCCTGACGGTCCTCAAAAAATCCTCAGTGTGGCTTATTGTACTATTGGATCTTGAAGAATTAGAAGTACCTCCACCAGGGTTCCTTTGGAACAGTTTGGTTTTATTTTTTTTTTTAAATCAAAGTAATGTTCACATAAAGAAGGTGATGCAACCCAGACGAGCTGCTAACAGTCTCTTTAACACATGGCTGTCAGCAAAGCTGTGCATCTGTTTGACAGCCAAATTTCACCTTCCCCTCCCAGTTCTGCAGTGGGACAGTCTGCTCTGCAGACCTCCCTTGCCCATGCTCTCCTTCTCCTGGATGTCCCTGCAGCCCCCATGAGCACCCCTTCCTGCTCCGTGTCCCACCAACTGCAGCAGGAACTCAGTCCCTGGCTGGGCTGCACCAGTGAGCACTCCAGGGAGCTATGCCTCCCACTCCTCACTGTCACCCAATTTCTCCCAGTTCAGCCCTGGCCTGCATTGCTCCTCTGCAGAGGCCTCAAGCTGGCTTTCAGCATTTCCCAGCCTTCTTATCTTGTCCACCTTGAAAATAGCATGAGATAGGGGCACAGCCAGAGGGCTTGAACCAACTCAGTCATGCACAAGGCTCAAAAAGCTCCTAGGACTCACTAATTCACCATAAATGGCCTTTCTTGTCACTGTCATTTATCCTTATTTCAAGAGGGAAGAGTTTCCATCAGGGCAGGTAGGTGGGCAGAGACTGTGCAGAGTAGCTACCTGTGAGCCCAGAGAGGGCACCTGTCCTTGGGGAAGGGAGCAGTAGAGTTGTCTGAGACACGTCAGACTCCCTCAGTGGACCTCGGCCTGACACGTAGCCCTTGCTGCTGTTTGAGACCCTGAGCCAGATCTGAGGCTTGTTAACCACAAGAGCCTTTAGACTGGTGTCCTCCTTCCCTCCAAACGGTGACCTGGTGCCTCTGTCAACCCCCTAGCTCTCGCTGATTCCTTCTGTTTTGTCAATCCTTGCAGACGAAATGACCAGCCTGGGCGGAAGATTCAGCTTCGATTCATGCAGAGGCATTTTATCTCTGATGGATGTATCCTTTCAGCAGAAGCAATAAACTTCTCTGGCACTGCCCATCGTTGCCTTGACTTATGGCTGAGCTGAGCGTCCCAGTGTGAGAAGCTGCAAGTAAATATTAGCCACAGTCCTCAATAAATAAGAGTCTATGCAGGACTTTGCCATGCATGCCCTGGCTCTAGCATGTCTGCTGAAAGGTGAGGGTCAACCTTCTGCTACCAGCTAACTCTTTGCTCTCATTTTCACCTCTGCAGGGCCCCAGGGCTTGGCTAAGCTTCACCCTTGGGCGCAGGGTCCCAAGCAGAGCCAGAGGAGAGGAGGCAGCACAGATCTCAGGCATAGCTTGGCTCTTCCATCACAGCTGCAACCACGCTGGCCTGTGATGGCAGCTTGAGCATCAAGCTGCTGCTAGCACCACCAGCAAAGCTGGTGTTAGGGGGAGAAGCACTGTCATCACCGAATCACAGGCACTTGCCTGGCAGACTATTCATCCTTTCCAGTGTACCTTCCCTATTTAGATGGATCACGCAGTCTTTTTACTGTTAATAAGACAACACTGGAAATACATTGCTGGCTGTTGTAGAACAAGAGGGCTCCTTGATGAAAACATAAATTCTCCCGTGTGTTTTCTCCCCCTTGCTTGCTCACTGTCTCTTTTCTTCCATGCTTTGAAATAACTTGGAGACATTTTCAGACCTTTACAAACTGCCAGGGAATGAATAAAAATGACTAGATGACCCTTGCATGCCCCGTGCATCTAGCCGGTGAAAGAGACTTTTCCCTCTTTCCAAAGCCCCTCCTGGGCTAAATGGGCACTGTGAATGCATGGCACGTGCAAAGAGCTGACAAAGCCACTGCTCTGCTTTAATTCAGGATGGATTTTTCATTCTCTGGGCTGCTTACAACCCATGTACAGTGTGACCTATCCTGGCCTGCAAAGACAGGATCAGCTTTTTTCAGTCAGGTTTCATGGCATTGGCACTTGTCTGCTTGTATTTAACTGGTGATGAGTTTTGCTTTCAGGGAGTTTTCGCCATCCCAGCTGCATTAGGTGAGGTGCTGCATGTCTGCCCAGGACTCCTAGATGGTGTACGGAGGGGAGCAGGTCCACTGACATAGTCCTTCGAGCATCTGTGGGAGATGTCTGCTGACACCCACGGGCTCCTGCAGCTCATGGTAGGGAAGCGTTTTCTTGCCTGTAGCATATGCATAGCTCAAAGGCTGCTGTTGCCTCTTGGCTCCTTCAGTGCCTGTTCCTCCAGGAGGATCCAGGCAGAGCTGATACTGTGCTGCTGCATGCATAGAGGCAAGGCAATGTGCACCTGTGGCCTGGAGCATGGGGTCATGTTCATCCACAGGGGCCTCTGCTCAGTGGCTAAATGTCAACTGAAGTGATGATCGCTGCAGGTTCCCGTGTGGTTAAATGTACCATATAAATAGAAACCTTTTGTTGTTTGTGAGCACAGGTATGAGCAGCTGTACAATGTGCCAAAAAAGGTGAATGTAACTGTAAGCATAATTGAGAGCAGAAAAGCTCTTGGTTTTCTCAACACAAAGTAACAAACAGAAGAGACTGCATCTTATGTCTTTCTTTATGTGAAGGCAGCATCCTCAGGAACGAAGACAGCCAGGTTTAGCTCTCATTAACTGTTCAATTCTTAACTAAATGCACAGCTCAACTCAGATGGACGACTCACACTGCAGGAGTTCGGGAGCCTCTGGCGAAGTCTCACTAAGTACATGGTACGCGGGGGCTGCTCTCTCTTTTCTGCCGATACTGTACTCTTGGGCTTTTCCTCAACAGAGTGCAGATGCTCTGTGATATCAAAGCACTGGGGAGAAAAACGTTGCAGAGGTTGCTTGCTTAGTGGGTCAGATTTCCATCCTCTCATGCAAAGGTTGAGAGCTCAGGAAGCAGTAGTGTGTGTAAAGTGCTCCAAACAAGCAGCTGAGGCTTTTCTAGAGCAAGGAATATTGAGGAAAAAATGGGAAAAGGTAGGAAGGCCAATTAGGCTCAGAATTTGATGGAAATCTCTGTTTGTGTGCCACCACTGGCAATTTTTTTTAAAGCTTTCTAAGCTGAAATGAGTTCTTGAACAGAGTCATCTGAAAAATGTCACTCATTACTGCAGTTTGTAGTGGAAATGTGTAGGATCCCATGAAAGTTTATCTGGGAGAAATGTCTCTGCTCCAGGATAAGCCCTAGGTTTGGAAGCACTGAGTACAGTAACTTGGTATTTAGGGTCCCATCTAAATTCAGGCAGCTTCTCTGTGTCAGGTCCTTCTCCCTCCAGTCTTGCTGCAGAATGGGAAGATTTCCTGAAGCCTCAAAGTTGGGTGGGTTCTACTTTGTTTCATCCCTCTTGAGATGGTCTGAGGCCACCTAGGATATGGGGTGCCAGTTCCCCATCTAGCAATGGTGCTCTTCCCACTGACAGCACCTCAAGTGCTTGTGGGGTTTCAACAGTGTGTTGGGAAAGATGACCCCACACCATTCTGGGATTCAGTGAATCCTGGCTTATTTCACGTGTTATAGACAATGTGTTTTTGTCGGTGGACATGGGAGTATTCCCATTGTTGCCTGCACACATAAACTAGGGAGAGTGAGCAAAAAGACTTCCACCCACCCAAAACTGTGGGATTTTTTACACCGTAACATACTGTCTGAGCCTTCTGGAAATGGGTCTCCCTTGTTATAGTCACCACATCTCATCTGTTTAACTTCCTTGCAGCCTATTTATTAAGGAGGGAAAGCATCCTACATAGTTAGATGTGGTAGTAAATTTGGGAATGCTGATATGAGCTTGAAATCTGCCTTTACACTATTTTTTAGGTTATCTTCAGCAAAGAAGACAGAAATCATTCTGGATTTCTTGATTTGTCTGAACTGAAGAGCGCGATACAGACGGCAGGTACGTCCATAGGTGCTGAGCAGCTCCCTTTCTTGTCCCTGTGGCAGTGAAGGAAAGGATGAAAAAGAGAGAGGAAAGAAAAAAGAGCTTCAGGGATAAAGCAGTTTGGATTGCACAGAGGTGCCAGTTAGATCACGGCTCTGCTCACAAGTCTGCGTTGTTTTAGGGCATTGAGACAGAAAGCTCATTTCAGGGAGAAACCCTTTGCACTGCAGCTGGGGAGCCAGCAGAGAGATGCAGAGAAGCACAGCCCTGGCCAGAGCCTGCAGACTGGCTTATCCATAGTCTCTCTAGGTCATGGACAAGACATCCAGCAGAGGAGAGGAGCAAGGAACAATCGATGCTTGCACTTGCCCCAATTCCTGCAGTTTCTCTTCAGGGCAGTGACTAAGCCTGTAAGGGAGAGCCATAGTGACAGACATTTATTTAGTTTGCACTGACCTCTGTTGGCTACACGAATGCTGAAACTTGCAGTGAATGCATGGGACCCCTTCACATGGGTGAAGCATTTTAGCATTTAGCTCTCTCTCTCCGGAGACTTTGTGCATGAAATGCAGCTCTGAGCAATGCTCTTATAATCGTACAGTAGGGAAGCTCCCATTTGGCTACCTGGAGCTTTGAGTGGTGGTGTCCCCAGGAGAAACCTGGTGCAGAAGTACTGTCTGTGGAAGCCATCAGCTCAGGGGATGTATGTGTAGTTTTTTTGTTGCTGAGAGGTGGGCAGAGCGTTAGCATCTGCCTGAGGAACGCAGCACTAATATGCCAAATGTCAAAGGAGAAGCTGCCAGGTGCATTCTGTAAGAAAGGCGCTAAAGTGTAAAACTGGGAGGAAAATTGTACATTGAGAAGTCCTGGCAGCCAAAACAGTGCAGCTATTTGAAGGGATAAAAAGGCACTATTAAATGGCAAATGCAATACATGTTAGGCTATAAGCAGTTCTGAGTGGGGGGAAAAAACAAAGTTACAAGCTCATTCTTGCCACCTTCTGAGCCAGACAGCTGCATTTGAATCTGGCTTTGCATTAGGATGATCCCCGTCCTGGCTTTTAAGCAAGAAGGAGTGGACAGCCTCAGAAAGAGTTTGGGAGGTTGGTGCTACCTCTGGGAATGGCCCTAATGTATCTAAATACAGCTCCCAGCCAGCTGTTCCATGAACTGTTCAGTGCTCTCCCCAGCAAAACACTGAAGTGCGTGCTTAATTTTCACTGTTGTCCTAATGCTTCAAAGCATAATAATGATGGGTCAAATTTTCTGCCAGAGTAAAGCAGGCTGGCTGCATTAACAGCAGTGCTGCCCTGAAATGCAGGAGCATTGGCCTGGGGTATTTACAAACTCCTCACTGGCAGTATTAAATGCATCAAAATAATTAAAAAAAACGGGGAAACATAAAGTCTGTATTTTAAAGCTTGACTAAAATCAGAGTGAGGAATCCAGCAGACAAAAGGTGTGGGGAGTAACCTTACAAATAAGCAACAGCACATAACTGAAATGTCTTGGGAACAGAGAGGACTGACACTTCAGTCTTGTTGATGAGGTTAATTGAGAGACATTGCCAGGTGAGAAGATTTCAGAGCAAGTATATCCCAGACTGACAATGCCAAATTGTCAGCATTTTACTAGTGTAAGACATGCTTGTAGCATCTCGTAAGCAGCACTGCAATGCTTGCTGGAATCCGCTCTCCAGAGAGCGCTTGGCTGAATTCCCACTGCCTTCAAAAGGTTAAAAATGTGGTAGGATTCATTGCTCACTACTACAGTGGTTCTTGGCAGTGTTTTAGAACCAGAATCAAAGAAGACATTTCATTAATTAGATTTTTTTTAATTACTAACTTTTTCTCCTAGAAAAAAATCTAAAATCAGGTTTATCTTAATTTGAAATGTATCTTAAACCCAAAAGTATTTCCATTATTTAAATATTCAGCATTGTATGTCTGCTTCCTGCTGGAGACCTTCTCCAAGTAGGCTCATGCAACCAGAGTTTGTCGACGTACTAACCCACTTCCATTGGCTGTATCTCCCTGTACACAGGTGTAGAGAAATAGTTTCCTTCTTTTCTGCTTATTCAACTAATTTGGCTCCATGATGAGTTCATTTAAACCTGAAAAGTTTAGAGCTGGTTGAAAAAGCAGGAAAGCTACTTCTCTTCCAGCTGAGCCACTAAAAACTAGGAGTGAGCAAATGAGAATTTTCTGAAGTCTCAGAGAATGCATTAAACCGAAGCTATCAGTCCAGCTCTCCGCAGAAAATTTCTCTTTTTGTTTAGCAAATCAGCTTTTAGTGCAAAATATATTTAAATCATTTCTCCTATGTAGCCAGCACATTTAGGGTAGTTTTATTTAACTAATAAAAGAATCATTCTAAAAGGCAATTTTTGTTCATTCAATTGAATACCAATTTCCATCCAAACAGACTGTGACACAAATACTGAATTATCAGCTAATAAAAAAGAAATGCACCCTTCACCATTTTCTAACAGAAGAGAAAATGTAAAAATTAAGAATCCCAGGCATGCTATACTGCATAATAGCATGAGCATGTGGTATCTCCCAGTTTAGCAGAAAGCGCCAGTGGTATTGTAAATGCTATGCTCAGACTTGAACAGTTATGAACCAAAGAAAATCACCCTTTTGTATAGGAAAAAAAGCTAAAAAGGCAAACCAAGGTAACAGTAGATTAGTTAGCTCTATGTTTCCTGCTTGCTGACCTAAGCCACAATTCAAGTAATTGACTAAATGGATTTTGATTTTCCATCACCCTACCCCTACTCTTACGCACAAACCTGGGGGAAAGGCAAGCTGCCATCCAGGGATGCAGAGCAGACCCAGCATGACAGGGTGGGTGGCCGAGGAAGAGCCCCAGCTTCTTTGCAGGGTGCACAAGGCCAGCAGAGCTGGTCCATCATCCCACAGTGAGTCCCCAGTACTGTCGTTCCTCTTCCCTCCGCAGGTCTGGCCGCTAACGAGCAGCTCCTGCGCCTGATGGCCCTGCGGTACAGCGATGCTGCCAGGAGAATCGGCTTCTCTGACTTCGTGTGCTGCATGCTGCGCCTTGAAACCATGACCTGTGAGTCTCGGCGCCAGGGCCTGGGGTCGGGCAGGGGATGTGGCAGCAGAGTCCCCCCATGGGAGCTTGCAAAGCCAGACTGAGGGCAGTGGCAGGAGGCAAGGTACACGCTGCGAGACATAATACATGTCTAACAGCGTAGCTTGGCAATAACAACCATGCCCAAAGTCCAGGCATAGTCCAGGCATCCCTTTGGGCAGCCTGTTTGCCAGAACCAGATTTGCCTCCTGCCCACAGGGGCAACTGTCTGGTAGAGAGTGGTTTAGTCCTGGGAGAAAGCAGCAGCCGGGAATACAGTGATGCCTTTGCTGAAAGGGGCTGGAAGGAAGGTCGGCCTGCAGTTTCCTGTCAGAGCTCATCAGAACGCCTTGTGGGCTGCAGTGGCACCACGCTGCCCTGTGTTTTTCCCTGCTGAGGAGCGATGGTAATGTATATTCAGAGCTTCTTCAGCTGCCAATCCTTTTTTGCTGCATGAATTTAGCCTGACCTCTGCAAGCTTGTCCTGAGAGCCCCTATGCACTAAGACTCATTTTCTAAAAACAAGATGTGTCCTTGTGCTGGTGCCCTTCCACACAAGCTTGACCATCCTGGTCCACAGCAGAGCTTCCTCCAGGGTGATGTGGAGCATTGCCGGTACCACTGAGACAAAAGGTGTGGGGAGTAACCTTACAAATAAGCAACAGCACATAACTGAAATGTCTTGGGAACAGAGAGGACTGACACTTCAGTCTTGTTGATGAGGTTAATTGAGAGACATTGCCAGGTGAGAAGATTTCAGAGCAAGTATATCCCAGACTGACAATGCCAAATTGTCAGCATTTTACTAGTGTAAGACATGCTTGTAGCATCTCGTAAGCAGCACTGCAATGCTTGCTGGAATCCGCTCTCCAGAGAGCGCTTGGCTGAATTCCCACTGCCTTCAAAAGGTTAAAAATGTGGTAGGATTCATTGCTCACTACTACAGTGGTTCTTGGCAGTGTTTTAGAACCAGAATCAAAGAAGACATTTCATTAATTAGATTTTTTTTAATTACTAACTTTTTCTCCTAGAAAAAAATCTAAAATCAGGTTTATCTTAATTTGAAATGTATCTTAAACCCAAATGTATTTCCATTATTTAAATATTCAGCATTGTATGTCTGCTTCCTGCTGGAGACCTTCTCCAAGTAGGCTCATGCAACCAGAGTTTGTCGACGTACTAACCCACTTCCATTGGCTGTATCTCCCTGTACACAGGTGTAGAGAAATAGTTTCCTTCTTTTCTGCTTATTCAACTAATTTGGCTCCATGATGAGTTCATTTAAACCTGAAAAGTTTAGAGCTGGTTGAAAAAGCAGGAAAGCTACTTCTCTTCCAGCTGAGCCACTAAAAACTAGGAGTGAGCAAATGAGAATTTTCTGAAGTCTCAGAGAATGCATTAAACCGAAGCTATCAGTCCAGCTCTCCGCAGAAAATTTCTCTTTTTGTTTAGCAAATCAGCTTTTAGTGCAAAATATATTTAAATCATTTCTCCTATGTAGCCAGCACATTTAGGGTAGTTTTATTTAACTAATAAAAGAATCATTCTAAAAGGCAATTTTTGTTCATTCAATTGAATACCAATTTCCATCCAAACAGACTGTGACACAAATACTGAATTATCAGCTAATAAAAAAGAAATGCACCCTTCACCATTTTCTAACAGAAGAGAAAATGTAAAAATTAAGAATCCCAGGCATGCTATACTGCATAATAGCATGAGCATGTGGTATCTCCCAGTTTAGCAGAAAGCGCCAGTGGTATTGTAAATGCTATGCTCAGACTTGAACAGTTATGAACCAAAGAAAATCACTCTTTTGTATAGAAAAAAAAGCTAAAAAGGCAAACCAAGGTAACAGTAGATTAGTTAGCTCTATGTTTCCTGCTTGCTGACCTAAGCCACAATTCAAGTAATTGACTAAATGGATTTTGATTTTCCATCACCCTACCCCTACTCTTACGCACAAACCTGGGGGAAAGGCAAGCTGCCATCCAGGGATGCAGAGCAGACCCAGCATGACAGGGTGGGTGGCCGAGGAAGAGCCCCAGCTTCTCCTGGGAGTCTCGGCGCCAGGGCCTGGGGTTGGGCAGGGGATGTGGCAGCAGAGTCCCGCCATGGGAGCTTGCAAAGCCAGACTGAGGGCAGTGGCAGGAGGCAAGGTACACGCTGCGAGACATAATACATGTCTAACAGCGTAGCTTGGCAATAACAACCATGCCCAAAGTCCAGGCATAGTCCAGGCATCCCTTTGGGCAGCCTGTTTGCCAGAACCAGATTTGCCTCCTGCCCACAGGGGCAACTGTCTGGTAGAGAGTGGTTTAGTCCTGGGAGAAAGCAGCAGCCGGGAATACAGTGATGCCTTTGCTGAAAGGGGCTGGAAGGAAGGTCGGCCTGCAGTTTCCTGTCAGAGCTCATCAGAACGCCTTGTGGGCTGCAGTGGCACCACGCTGCCCTGTGTTTTTCCCTGCTGAGGAGCGATGGTAATGTATATTCAGAGCTTCTTCAGCTGCCAATCCTTTTTTGCTGCATGAATTTAGCCTGACCTCTGCAAGCTTGTCCTGAGAGCCCCTATGCACTAAGACTCATTTTCTAAAAACAAGATGTGTCCTTGTGCTGGTGCCCTTCCACACAAGCTTGACCATCCTGGTCCACAGCAGAGCTTCCTCCAGGGTGATGTGGAGCATTGCCGGTACCACTGAGGGGAGACTGCATTCACTGCCTGTGAAGAGGAAAGAGGCAACTCATCTCAGGTGGAAGGCTTTCTCTCTCGGTTAAAATTCGGAGAAGTGTGAACCACAGCAAGGGAGGTGCTTTTTTTTTTTTTACTGGAGCGATGTTCCCACCAACTTCCGTGACGTTCTCTCAGTTTTTTGGTAAGGAGAAGGTCTGAGATCCTTCTCAGTGGATAAACAAACCCATGCCCTGTGTTGTGTCCAGCTATTGTCTGGCAGTTGCAAGGAGGGAGTGTCTGTAAATAAGCCTTTGCCTGAAAGTAAATGGAATTCTGCTTTACAAAAGCATAATTTTTGCTATTATAAGTATTTTGACTGGAAATACTAAACAAACCCAGCAATTGTGACCCATGTGCTAGAACATTGCTACAGCAATTGAGTTCATCTTTGGAATGAGTTGCGTTTCAACAGTGCATGGAAACGAGTGTTCATTTTTTGTCCATGTGTTTTTACCACTGATGTTTTATGGGCCAGTAGTGGTCAGCAGATCTGCCTGGATGACACTGCCTAAAATCCCATTTCAAGGGAGTACAGCAGGAGCAGCTCAGAAAGTCAGAGCGTGTCCTGATTTTAATGCTTTCATTAAAAACCAGACAACTTGTAAACACCCATTTTTTGTGATTATGCGCATCACTTGCTGTAGATGAAAATTCTTATGCCTAAATTAGTACCATGGCATTTTTTTTTCATCTTTAAAAAGATTCTTTTACATTTTAAGTGCCAGTGTAAAGACAGCTCCTTTATATCCATGTGGAAAGGAATCTCTAAAAGTTTCATTGCTGTCTGTAATGAGTATCTTAAAATGCTCTCAAGTCTTTCGTTATCACTTTACAGATGGTTTAATGTGCAATACATTTCTCAAACTTTTCAAATCATTGTGAATAAGATTTTTACAGGAGAGGATAAGGGTGCCAAGTGGGAATAAAAGGCAGTCCATCTTTATGATGATGTGAATGCAGCAGAGAAGATAAAATCTGTCCCATTAAATCATTACTCATCCTTTCAAGATAGCCAGAGATGAGACCCAAACCAAAAGCAGCAGCTTCTTTGCAAACTCTATTTAACTGGAGTTAACGAAGCAGTAAAGGAGCACTTACCTCTGCTCAGAGGAGGTAACTTCAGCACTGCCATTTGTTCCTAGAAAGACTGCTGGGCGCCAGCCCAGCCCTCCAAATACAACCTTGTCAAGGGGATGGGCGCAACATGAGGATTTCCTTGTTCTATGCCTTTCTTCAGAGCAGTATAGGCTGGATGTGCTTCATCGTGTTAGCTTTCCTCCCTGCCTTCTCTCTCCTCTGGATCGTGTAGGTAGCTCTGGTTGCCTCCTAAGGGGCCGACGAGCAACACGCCCTTGTGCCCTGTTCCTACACTCTCCTAGCAGCCTTGCACTTTTGCCTAAAGCCGGGCAGGTTTCAAAACGTTCATGATCTTAAAATGCCTTTTCCATTCAGGGTGGGAAACAGGCTCCTGGAGAAATGTGTTGTTCAAGCATAGACAGACTTAAGTTTGTTTCAACTTTTTATTACAACAGCACATTTCTAGGAGAAAAGTAATTTCAAAATAAATAAAAAGAACTCAAAATACTGTGTTTTGACTTTATCCAAACACTTGGGTTTGAACAATTCTCCTAGACAAACTGCAATATAAATGTGCTCATAGAATATCAATATTTGAATGGATTTAAATTTTCTGATGGCAAAGTGTTCTGTCAGAAAACTTTCAGCAATGTTAATTCAAACTCTAGCTGAATAACAGCAGCGTCTGCATTTATATTCCCTGGAAAAAGCTTGCAAGGCATGCTAATGACTTCAAGAGAATCACTGTCTTTAGGGCACACTGTGATCACTCACTGCCAGGGAGGATGGAAAAGGACCAACAGAGAGCTTCCCTGTGGGAAGATGTGTTTCATTAGTTCACCATTCTCCTGTCAGTCTTCAGGCAGGAGCTACTATTGAAACGAATTATGAGAGCAGATGAAAGCAGTCACAATGAGCACTCCCTGTCCCTACACTTTTGCCAAATTCTGGCCCTGCAATTGGGATGCCTTTGCAGGCTGTGATCCAAGGGACAAAGCTGAAAGGGGTACCCGGCACGGAAATGAAATGTGGCTAGGCAGGACGGTGTGTGTGAATACCTGAGCCAGGCAGAGCATCCCAGCACGGGGACCGCAGCTCTGCTCAGCTGCCACAGCCTTGTGTCTGCGTTGCACTCTTGCTTCCTCCTCATGAAATACAATTTTCTTTGTTCTACCCCTAGATGCATTTCAAAACTTAGCAGAAGGCAGATCACAAATTTTGATGACAGCAATGGAGGTGAGGATGCTTCTTCTCTCCCCTCTCCTCCCCTCTCCTCCCCTCCCCTCTCCTCTCCTCTCCTCTCCTCTCCTCTCTCCAGGATCAAAGTGGGACCACTGAGTATGTTAGCAGGAGGGTGAAGTTAAAAATGTTGTGTGATGTACGTTGCTAGGGGTTTTGCCTCTGACACCAACAGTGGTGAGGGTTTCACCTGGCTGGATGTGTGTAATGGGCAGCGGGGAGGTATTTCCCTGGGGTTCCCTGGCCCCAGTCATGCAGCCTCACTAGGGTGAGCACAGCTCATTGGTGGCCATCTACAACCAAAGCACAGAGTCCTCCCGTACTGATGCCAGCCTGTCATTGCTGGAAACATTGCTCAAAGTGACTTTGAGGAGGTGACAAAAAAAAATCTGTGCCCTCATTTCTTACTGCCCCATCTGTTAATTCTGAATTGCAAAACATCTTGGTTTTAAGAAAGAAATAGCAGACAAATGCTTGCTGCTGCTGTTTGTCTTAAAAGCACAGCCTGAAGGATAGCTAGCCAAATGGGGATACATCAAGCTTTTTATCAGCTAGTCTGAAGCAAAAATCCTGCTGTGCTCCATAGTGATATGCCTGAGTGCTGCGTTTTATCGGTCTGGGGACAGTTACTTGACAATACAGTGTTTAAAAAGACTTTTTTTAAAAAAAACTTTTACAATCTTGCTGGCTCCTGTTTGCACTCTGTAGTTAGTTCAGTGGCTTATAGTTCATTAAATCTTTGTTGCACCAAGAGCTGAGCAGAATTTCCAAGCAGAGGCCCTGAACCTGTTTTACGGGGTAGTCTGTGGGATAGCCACATTCCCAGAGCCTGCCATCCCTTCCACTCGCAATCACACAGGTGCCATCCTTTTCCAGCAATTGCTTCTGCTGCACCTGCTGCAATAATTTATCATGGAAAGCAACATATGGAAACTGTTTGTAGGTCTGAATTGTAATAAGGGAAAAAGGCAGTTCCAAAATCGCTTAACTATCCTGTGCAGGACAAAAGGACCATAGTCACTGGGTCACAGCCTGAAGGTAGAGGCACATGTCTGAAGACTTAGTGTAACATCGCTGTCTAAATGCACCTTTTCTTCTCTTTTTTCCAGTGGCTGACTCTTGTCATGTACACCTAAAGAGATGTCAGAGCTCAATGTGGCTGGTAAGAAATCTCATTAGTACTATACATACTGAGAAGAAAGGTGTGGGTGCTCTTACAGCGGCCACAGTGAACGTGAGTGGGGGCCTTACAGAAAGCTCACCCTGGGTTTATGGTGGGTTTTGAGAGAAGGAGAAAAGGTGAGAGCTGCAGCATGAGCGGGGCTGGAGAGGGGCTGCAAAGGGAATTGGACTTTGGGCAATTTTTTCTGGGGAATTGCTGATGGCCTTATCAGTTGCTCAGACCACCGATGGCTCAGTTAGCCACTTGACCCCTGTTCCCACCTGAGGTAATACATTTTTCAATAGATCAACTAGCAGAACTTGTCTTTTTTGTCTTCCAAGGGATGCAATTACTCCTGCATATCTTACATAGCTGCAGCAGATGTAAAGCCAAGTAGAGTGTGGGGATATGAAGTCACTTAGATTTCTTGGTCAGTCTGATTTCACATTTTTAACTGAATTATGTAATTTAGTTTACCTTTGAACAACAGCCCCTACCATGTGTTTCATTTGGCATTTGCTCCCTCCACATCAGACCTGGAGAGGGGCTTTTTTGCCCTGAAGTTTACCTGGACTTTCCAATTTTGCTACTAGGTTCTAGTGATAAACTCTGCCTTTTCCTACAGAACTTGTCCTGTTTATACATCCATAAACCATCTCAGCCATCGTGCTTCTACTAACCCACTGGGACGCAGCTGTTCCCAGTTGCAGTGGGTACAGCGTTAGTGCTGGTCCTAGACAGTTGGCACTGAGGAGAAAACAGGGAGGAAATCCAATCCTTAGAGAAAAGGTACAGTGGAGAGCCAGCAGCCTCTTGCCGTTGTGTTGTGGTTGACCCCAGGAACTCATGGAGCACCCTCAGGCAAAATCTCATGCTTTCCTTATCAACCCAGTTCAAAAGCTGAGTGAAAAAAACAAAAACCCAGGACCATCACTGAAATCCAGGGACTGCATCCAGATGAGCCTTCCTATAGACAGGAATTACAATAATAAATAATACATGAACAGCATCTCTGGTATCTCACATCCTGTTTCTGAAGGCAGTTGACATTGGATGCCAGCTTTGGTGAGAAGTTGAAAGAGGAGATGTATAATCAGGGTGTAAATTACACTCCCCCAGGGAGAAAGCATGGTAGATTCAGACCCAAGGCAGGGATGGCTCTGTGTCTTTCACCCTTGGCTCCAGGACAGCATTTGTGCCCAGCTGCTCCTCTATCTTGGCTCCTAATTGCATCCAGTGTGTCCGTCTGCAGCAGGAGCTGGGCTTCACCACTCAACACTGTGATGCCTTCAGCTCTCTGAGCTCTGTTTGCACACAGTTATTTGCTTGAAAGTCTGCCCTTTGCATTGGAGAGCTTTGGACAGTGCAGCTTCCCTTTGTCACAGCAAAGCTGTATTTTGATGTGTTGATGTGTAGAAACAGATTATTCACAACACAGCACCCACCCCTTGCACCGCAGACTATCATTAGGTAAATATGAGACTAGAAGGACCTCGCTTTGGGGGATGAAGTTGCTTAAAGTACTGCTTGCAAATGATATTCATAGTCTATTTAGTCTTCTTTTTTCCTTTCATGAATCATTCATAAACTGATCATAACTTCTGCAAATATATCATTAATCATAATTTTCACTTACCGGTTTTGAATGAAATTCTGCCTGTAGGGTGTTCATAAGCAGTTCACTTGAACAATTCAACAGCCACTTGCAGCTGGAGACTGGGCAGTCACAGCACGGGCCCCTCAGAGGACTGAAATTCTTTAAACTAGAGCCTAACAAACCATGAGCCATGTGAGAAAACACACTTGGTGTTTGTTGGGAAGAAATCTGCTGAAAAAAATATTCTCATTAGTGACTGCTAAAGACTGACCTCCAGCTGTCTGTGTTTTGAGTGAGTCTCTCTACCTCTGTTTTAGGTGGCTTTTCTGCTCCCCAGTATGACACAGCCCAAGGCCATCCCATACAAGAGCCATCCGTGGGGCTCTTGAAAAACCAAACACTGTGACGGAGTGAAACCAGGTTTCTTACGGACATTTGCTTATGTTTGATGGTACTCAGATGTCCGGATGGAGAGTCCTTTTCAGGCAAACTGGAGTTGCTTTGGAGAGAGAAGAGGAGATAATGAGAGAGATCCATGGGCAAGCTGGTAGTACTTAATGGTCAGGGCAAGCTGGAAGTGCCAAGTATAATCTCCTCTCATCTTCAATATATAGCATGGCTGGTTCTGCTGGTTAATGCACAGAAGTCATGAGCAGCTCTATTAACTTCATTGCAAGTAAGAACAGAATCGGGCCTTTTGTGTGGAAGGAGTGACTATCGCTTAGGTAACAGAAACAATTAAGACACAGTTTTATTTGAATTATTTCTTAATTTGCTTGTGTGCCATTTCTAAATGCCAGAAAAAGGTTGACGAAATTAATCATAATTCATAAATAACACCACTTTGTGATTTTTTTTTTTACTTTTTATTAATAAAAAAATAAATAAGAAAGTTTTATGCATATCTGAGTTCATCAACTGTAGGGATTCCATTTTATTTGCTACGGCAATGAAGAGGCATATTAGAGTCGTAGAACAGATTGTTCAGTGCTGTTTTCTCATTTCCAGCACCTATATCAGTACTGTCTGGGAAGAGACAAATTTATCTGAACTGCATTATCTTTCTCTGTCCTGCTGTCTTTAAAAATATAGGGCTTCTTCAGTCATAATTCCTGCTCAAAAGTTTAACTTGAATCTGCTAAATAACTGTAACCTTTCTGTAGCCCACACACAAACTCCGCTTTCATGCGCATTTCATGGTGATAAAAGCAAATCTAGTGATCTATTCTACTGAACTATGAAAAAAAAAAATCTCTGAAGACTCTATTTGTGAAAATGCCAAAAAGAAGGATGCAAGTGTCAATAGATGAAAGCGATTCAGGGTTGCCATGGCAATATAATTCACACTATGCCTCACCCGGACCTTCTGCACAAGTTTCCATTGAGGCATCCACACACTAGCAACAGATTTACTCATTTGGCAGCGAGACATTACACGCTGGAGCAACAACTACATCACAAGGTAAAGAAGGGACCAGTGTCTTTGTTACCATGAGGTTGGTCTGCGGCAGCGTCTCGTTCTGCAGCTTGAAGAGCATTACTCATGTAGGTAGGACTTATGCAAACAGGGCCACTGAACCCACCCTTTCACTGAAAGTGAGGGGAAAGGGACATCAGTAAAATTAGACTATTGCAATATTTTTCAGTCAATTTTAAACAAACCGATTCCTTCTCCAAAGTGTGACTTACACATCCCACCTGAAATCATTAATCATTAATTAAGCTCTGAAAATGTTGGCAAAGAGAGAAAATAAATAAAAAAGGTCACCATGGAAAAATAAATATACTTTGCTAAAAAGGCATATTAGTAGATCCATTTTAGAGAAGTATGCTTGTTTATTTCAGCCTGGGAATTCAAAAAGGGTAAGTAGAAGTCTGGAAGCACTTCTGTATGATGTCCACCACGCAGTTCAGGGATGCTCAAGCTGGCTGAGACCTGCTGGGAACAAGCTATTTGTAGCTACACAGAAGTCACCCGTGGCAGAATTGTGAAATTCAGTTCAAGTCAATAGGTTTAAGTACATTCTTGTTGTGTGAAAGTCCCATCTATAAAAATACCAAGCTGTTAAGATCAGCGCATCAGGATCAGTCTTAAAAATCTTAATTTGCAGACAATGTATTACTTTTCCTTTTGTTACGATGCATAATTGCATTTCTGTGGAAGGCAATTCTGCCTGTCGTGAGACAAAGATCCTTGTCTCTAATAACTTAGTCTGGCCACAGACTAAAATGTTTCTTCTTCATGAAAAAGCTAGCAGCAGACACCAGACATCCCAGGTGAGAAACATCACCGATACATAAGGTTGTCTCCCCGTGGAGAGATGCTGGGGATGCCGACTCTTCTCACGCAAGGGGTGCGTGTATGCCCGTGCCTAGAGCCCCTGCAGCCGATTGCCGCTGGAGATGCTGCCGGCCGGAGCCCCCCTCCGCCTCCATCACGCCAACCCTTCACTCTGGTGTGTGCGGCCTGTGCGCGCCAGCGGTCTCAGGGATGAAACTACGGCCCCTTCGGGTTTGTGGGCTGGCACCTGCAAGCTGATCCTGCACTGGGGCAGAAAGTAATAACTCACTGCTGTCAAGCTGAGTGTGACTGCCTGTCTGTAGCGTTGGAAGAATTGGTATTCCACTTGATTTATACTTCCAGCCAAGCTAATTAAGCAACACTTCAGGAGGAATCCATCATTGTGACAGACTTGTTGATTAACCATCCCGCAAGCAAAGTCAAGGGTGTTTGGTAGCCTGAAAAAAAAACCTGGGTCAATAGGGAGAAAAACAATGATTTGCCCATAATACAGCAGTGACTATTATTTCCAAAAGCAACAAGAAGCTTAATACATTTCACAAACACAGGGGCCAACATTAAAAAGAAAGGCAGCTCAGATCAGTGGGGTGTTAGATAAAGAGGGAAAACTTTTACACCTCAGCTTCGTGTGATTAAGCTGTGAAGGCCAACTTTATGGGGATGGTGTCCCTATTAAAATCTTCTGTGCACCTTCATCTGTGTTTGCCAGCTCTGAAATGTTAGTGCGATCCCCATGAGGTTTCTGGCATTTGTGAAAGCTCTGAGATTCATGCAATTATGATACTATCATCTCTAATTTTTTTGATGCAAATCGGTTTCTAGTCCTCAGGGACACAAGTCTGAAAAGCCCTAAGAGAATCTTCTATTAGAAATTGAAGAGAAGGACCTCAAACAAATGCTTTATTTTTAAATCTTCATGATGCTAAGACCCTCAAGAGTGTAAGAAGCAGGCAATGTGAAGAAGCAGAAGCTGAAGCAGATGAGATTAGTGATGCTGAACTCCCTAGCATTGAAGATGGGATAAAGAGCTGATGAAATTAGGTAGGATCTGAGACAACCATTATCATTAGAAGGA